GTGTTTGACGTTCCAGCACAGGCAGATCCCAGCACAGCACAGACGCATCCCAGCGCGTCTGGCGTTGTCTCAGGGACACAGGCTACTGGTGCTGCTGCTGCACCTGGCGCCAGTGGCAGCAGAGGTGCTGGTGGCAGCAACAGCGTTGCACCCAGCAGTGCTGCAGCACCCACCGGCAGTGGTGGTGGTGATGGTTTCAGTGATAGAGTGGTGGGTGCTAGTGGCAGTGGCGGTGAGCATTGGAACTTTCTGCAAGACGTGCAAGATGATGTTGACCGCATGGAAGGGCGAGGGGGAGGGACAATAATGGGAGTAGGAGGAAGGGAGAGAGGAAGGGACGGAAAAGGAGGTGGACATATGCTGGAGGAGGGAGGACGGGGTGAAAGGGCACCACCACAAGCAGGCTCTATCAAGGGGAAAGAACCTGCTGCTGATGGTTTTACTGCTGCCACTGCTACTCCTGCTGCTGCTGCTGGTGCTGCTACTTCCTCTGCGTCTGCTGTTCCTGCTGCTTCTGCTCTCCCTGCTGACACACCTGCCAGTGTAACCAGCTCTGCTGCAGGGCCGTCAGCAGCCAATGAGCTGATGCCAGCTGTCCCGTCGCCGGCCAGTGAGCTGACGCCAGCTGTGCGGGAGGCGGCAGCAGCAGCAGTGAGGGGTGCGCTAGAGAAGGGTCGGAAGACGGTGTGGGAGCTGGCTGCTCGAAGGGTGGCGGCTCTTTTATCTGCTCCTCCTGTGTGCTCTTGGCACCTCGGAGCAGTTCCTGCAGGTGCGTGCTTGTGCCTCTGTTCTGTCTACATCTCTGTTTCTGATTCGCCAATACAGGAAGACGGTGTGGGAGCTGGCTGCTCGAAAGGTGGCAGCTCTTTTATCTGCTCCTCCTGTGTGCTCTGGCACCTCGGAGCAGTTCCTGCAGGTGCGTGCTTCTGTTTCCATACCTCTCTTTCTCACTCAGAGTGAATCTTGCAGCAGTGAGGGGTGCGCTAGAGAAGGGCAGGAAGACGGTGTGGGAGCTGACTGCTCGAAGGGTGGCGGCTCTGCTGTGTGCTCCTCCTGTGTGCTCCGGGACTTCTGAGCAATTCTTGCAGGTAGGTGCTTCTGTTTCCCCTTCTCTCTTTCTCACTCAGAGTGAATCTGGCAGCAGCAGTGGAGAAGGCGGTGTGGGAGCTGGCTGCTCGAAGGGTGGCGCCTCTGCTGTCTGCTCCTCCTGTGTGCTCCGGGACTTCTGAGCAATTCTTGCAGGTGCGTGCTTGTGCCTCTGTTCTGTCTACATCTCTGCTGCTGATTCGCCAATACAGGAAGGTGGTGTGGGAGCTGGCTTCTCGCAGAGTGGCGGCTCTGCTGTCCGCTCCTCCTGTGTGTTCTGGCATCTCGGAGGCGGGGAGGAAGGGGACACAGTCCTCTGTCTCTTGGATGAGTTTGTGCTGGCAGGGAGGGGAGGCTTTCACCCAAGCGGGGGCGGGGAGTCTGAGTCGTAGCGCCAAGACGCACCTACTACCATTCACCCCCTGCTGCTTAATGCTGCCCCATGTGCATTCTTCCCGCGTGTGATGAGGCGATTTTTGAGTCGACTCAAAAATCGCCTCAAGACGCACCTACTACCATTCATTCACCCCCTGCTGCTTAATGCTTCCCCGTGTGTATTCTTCCCGCATGCCATTCCGCTTTTGAGTCGACTCAAAAGCACCTACTACCATTCACCCCCCCCTGCTGCTGAATGCTGCCCCATGTGTATTCTTCCCGGATGCCATTCCTCCTCACATCACATCCCCTGCAGGTTCTCTGCCTGGTCGAAGAGTTTGTGCTGGCAGGGGAGGCGTTCACTCAAGCAAAGGCTGGGAGCCTGAGTCTTAGGGCCAAGAGGCACTCACCATTCACCTTCTGGATTCTGCTGCCTCCCTACCCACCCTCACATCCCCTACAGATTCTTTGCCTGGTTGAAGAGTTTGTGCTGGCAGGGGAGGCGTTCACCCAAGCGGAGACAGGGAGCCTGACTGAAGGCCAAGATGGCTCGGCACCCACCAACATGTTGACTTTTGAGTCGACTCAAAAGTCAACTAAGCGGAGACAGGGAGCCTGACTGAAGGCCAAGATGGCTCGGCACCCACCAGCATGTTGACTTTTGAGTCGACTCAAAAGTCAACTAAGCGGAGGCAGGGAGCCTGACTGAAGGCCAAGATGGCTCGGCACCCACCAACATGTTGACTTTTGAGTCGACTCAAAAGTCAACTAAGCGGAGGCAGGGAGCCTGACTGAAGGCCTAGATGGCTCGGCACCCACCAACATGTCAGCTCATTTATGCCTCCGTGTCCTTTCGTTGCCCTATTCAATCTCCCTCGTCACCTACAGATCCTGTGTCTGGTGGAGGATTTTGTGCTGGCAGGGGAGGCGTTCACCCAAGCAGAGGCGGGGAGTCTGAGGGCCAAGATGGGTCGGCAGTGCGACCAGTTCTTTCGGAACTACCACAGACAGGCACTGGAGGTGAGTGAGGGAGTGAGTGTGAGTGCGAGTATTTTTGTGACTGTGCGGGTGAGTGTGTGGATATGTGTCTATCTTTGTGTCTGGGAGTTCAAGGGCCACGATGGTTTGGCAGTAGACCAGTTCTTTTGGAATTACCACCGGCAGGCACTGGAGGTGAGTGAGGGAGTGAGTGTGAGTGCGAGTATGTTTGTGACCAGTTCTTCTGCAGCCACCACCAGCATGAGGGAATATGGAGTGGGAGTGTGTGTAAGTAAGTGAGTACGATGGTGGAACGAAATACGTAGCTTTTGCTCTCTCCTTCCTCCTCCCTGCAAGCCCCCGAGGCACCATCTCATCTCCTCCCGCGCCACCCTCGCTTCCCCGTGTGGCACAGCATACGTAAGTCTCGCCCAATCTTCCTGTGCTCATCCCGACCCTGTGGCAGGTGCTGCGTATGGTGGTGGAGAGGGAAACATGGCAGCCCCGTGATTGAAGAAGTGTTTAGAGACGTCTCAAAACAATCTTCCCGTGCTCCCCCCGACACTGTGGCAGGTTCTGCGTATGATGGTGGAGAGGGAAACATGGCAGCCCCTCCCCCCGTCCTCCCAGCAAGCCCCCGAGGTGCAAAGTCTCATCTCCGCTCGCTCCACGCTCGCCCGCTCGCCCGCCAAAATGCTCACCTCGAGTCCCAGCGACTCTGCTCTTGCTGGGGGCGGAGGAGCAGGAGGTGTGGGGGGAGCGGGAGGAGCAGGAGAGGGAGGAGCAGGAGGAGTGGGAATGGGTGTGGGAGGGGTGGGAAGGGAGGGAGGTGTGGAGGCAGGACGTGTGTGGGATTTTAGTCACTGGATGCAACTAGACCAACCTTTCAATGTAGAGAATGTGAGGGGTGGGAGGGAGCAACTGGACGCAGCAAGCGGGAGAGGGAGAGGAGCGGGCGGAGGGGGAGGAAGGGGAGCAAGAGGGGTTAACAGCGGTGGAGTGGGGTGGGATGGGCCGCAGGGGATGCTGAGGGAGTTGGTGGTGGTGTCGCAAGGGGGGATGGGGGGAGTGGCGCGGGAGAGAGCACGGGAGAGGGATCGGGAGATGCTGCGAGATAAATTCATGGATATGGAACGAGAGAGGGAGAGGGAGAAGGAGCAAGAGAGGGGAAGGATGAGTCCACATTCAGCGTATCAGAGCCCAGGAGGAGCATATGGAGCAGGGGTTTCTTCTGGGGGAGGTGGATATGGGGTAGGTAGGTTTGGAAGTGCAGCAGAGGGGGTGAACGAGCTTCGGCAGTACAGCTCTGAGCGAGTAGCTCCAAGAAATGCCGCCCCAACTCCCACTGGCTCTGCTGATGCTGGTGGTGATGCTGGTGGCGGTGGTAGCTGGGGCAGTGGGTATGATTTGAAGAGTAATAGCTACAGCCACAGCAGAGGTGGTGGTGCTGTTGCCGCTGCTAGCCCTTCCGGTGTTGCTGCTGTTTGTAGCGATCCCACTGCTGCTGTGAGTGTTGCCAGCAGTGGCATGAGAGGGGTTGGGAGCGGTTTATTGAGGATGCGAGAGGAAGGGGAAGGAGTGGAGCAGGAGGAGGAGGAGGAGGAAGAGGAGGAGGAGGAGGAAGAGGAGGAGAGTGAGGAGTTGTTAGCTGATTTCATTGATGAGGATGGGGAGGGGGAGGAAGAGGGAGGGAGAGAGCGGGAGAGAAGGAGCAGAGGCGGAGGCAGAGGAGAGAGAGGCAGAGAGGGAGGCAGAGACGGAGTGCCTAGCAGCAAGAGCAGCAGCAGCGTGCAGAGAAGCAGGAGCGGGGGACGGGGAGGAGGAAGAGGAGGAAGAGGAGGAAGAGGGGCAGGGGGGGGCAAGGCAGGAGCGTCAGGAGGCGGAGGCGGAATAGGAAAGGGAGAAGGAGGGAGGGGAGGGCCTGGAGGGGTGCAGAGGAGTGGGACAACAAGGATATACTCCCCAGCACCACCATCCTCGTTATTGCCAGACTCGTTACTAGGCCGCTCACAGAGTGATGGCAGGCTGGGGGGCCAGGGGAGGAGGCGGGCTGGCAGTGGGAAGGAGGGAGGCGGAGGGGTAGGCACTGGTGGGAGCAAGGGGGGGAAGGCAGGGAAGGGGGAGGAGCAGGACTTTGCTGCCACTGCATCTGCTCTCGGTGCTGTCAGGTGGGCTTGTTTTTTCGTGTCATGTAATGCTGTGCCGTGCCATGCCATGTCATGCCATGTCATGCCATGTCATGCCATGTCATGCCATGCCATGCCATGCCATGTCATGCCAAGTCATGCCATGTCATGCCAAGTCATGCCATACTATGCCGTTCCATGCCTTGCTGTGCCATGGCCACCCATCTCCACCCAAGTCCCTTCCTTCCCCACTCCCCCTCCCTGCTGCCGCCCTCCCCATGCTGCCCTCCTCATGCCGCCCCCCACCTTGCTGCCCTTTCCTTGCCGCCCCTCCCCTCACCGCCCTCACCCTACCACCCTCCTTCTCCCGCACGGCAGGCTAATGGACTATCAGGTCACGCTGGTGTTCTCTCTGGCAACTCCCAATACCCCCTGTGCCGCCTTCCCCATGCCGCCCTCCTAACTCTGCCCTCCTAACTCTGCCCTCCTGACTCTGCCCTCCTGACTCTGCCCTCCTGACTCTGCCCTCCTGACTCTGCCCTCCTCCTTTTCCCCCACCCCACCAGGCTGATGGACTATCAGGTCACGCTGCTGTTCTCTCTCGGACCCATCTCAGCTGACGTCATCATGGTGAGCAATGGGCCATGCAGCACATTTTGGGGTGAGCTTGGTTGCATCGTTTTGTGGTGCTGAGACCTGCCTCTCAATCAAAACGAGCAATTCTGACTCTACCTCATCACTGTGTTTTGTTATCAGTTGACTTTTGAGTCGACTCAAAAGTCATCTCGTTACAATGTCACAACGAGCAATTCTTACTCTACCTCATCACTGTGTTTTGTTATCAGTTGACTTTTGAGTCGACTCAAAAGTCATCTCGTTACAATGTCACAACGAGCAATTCTTACTCTACCTCATCACTGTGTTTTGTTATCAATTGACTTTTGAGTCGACTCAAAAGTCATCTCGTTACAATGTCACAACGAGCAATTCTTACTTTACCTCATCACTGTGTTTTGTTATCAGTCAACAGGTGGGCTGCGGAGGTACTTTTATCGTTGAATGGACCTACTCATATCCTTTTTTCCCTCCTTACCTCTTACCTTACCCCCGTCTCTCCTCCCTCAGTCCGTGTGGCAGCTATTCGACCTCTACCTCATCACAGTGTTCCGCATATTCGGCCATCGGGAGGCCTTTGCTGCCCTGCGATCCGCCGACTCTGCCGCCGCTCACTGTGAGTCCCCACTCTTTCACACTCAAAAGTCACCGCTCACTGTGAGTCCCCACTCTTTCACACTCAAAAGTCACCGCTCACTGTGAGTCCCCACTGCGCCCACTCTTTCACACTCCCATGGGGTTGCCTCCCCCCCTCTTTCACACTCTTCCTTTCTCATCTCCGTTCGCCCTTCACTCCTTTCTCCCCCTTTCTTCCGCTCGCTGCATCTGTTCTGTTCCTTCCTCTTATACTGGCACAGTGCTATCCCCCAAGCTCTGTGGCGTGCTCACCAAAATACGAGCTGGTTTTTGAGAATTCTCAAAAACTTTCTCCCGCTTTCTTCCTCTCGCTGCATCTGTTCTGTTCCTTCCTTCCTCCTAGGCGATGTAGAGTATTTTTGAGAATTCTCAAAAATACTCTATACTGGCACAGTGCTATCCCCCAAGCTCCGTGCCGTGCTCACCAAGATTCTGCACAAGTTTGAAGCCATGGGGCTGCGCCCTCTCCTTCCCACTATCCCGTTCCTATCTCACTTCCCCCTCCGTTTTCCCCTCTCCCTTCCCTTCCCTTCTCTCCTCCATCCACACAGTGCTATCCCCCAAGCTCCGTGCAGTGCTCACCAAGATCCTGCACAAGTTTGAAGCCATGGGCCTGCGTCCTCTCTCTCCTCCCTCCTTCTCTGATGCTGCTGCCTCCGCTGCTGCCTCTGCTGCTGCTTCTGCTGCTGCTGCAGCTGCCGCCTCTTCTCTCGAATCAACTACAGGGGCATCTGCTGCTGGTGCTGCTGCTGGTGCGACTAGAGGTGCTGGTGCTGGTGCTAGGGGTGGTGCTGCTGCAAAGGGTGGTGGAGAAGGCAATGGGAGTGTGGCAGGGCGGCCAAGTCTGTTTGATGGCAAGACCGGCACCAGGGTGCTCATCTCCTCCTCCAACTTCTATGCTCTCAGGGTGAGTTGTGATTCAACACAACAGGTTAGTTCCAGGCCGGTTCAAACAAACTGGCACCAGGGTGCTCATCTCCTCCTCCAACTTCTATGCTCTCAGGGTGAGTTTTCTTGAGTTGTGACTCGAAACATGATATGATAATCGAATTGCCTCAAATGATGACACTCAATTTGACACAAACCATGACCTTTGTGTCGATTCAACGCTCTCCACCTACCAGGCTACGCTACGCCACACCCCTTTCACCCCTCACCATCTCTCCCACCCTGACCCTCGCTCTCACTCACACCCGCTCTCTCCTCTCTCTCTCCACGCCATCTCCTCCCTTCTCACCCTTGCGCCTTCTGGGTGTGCCCCGCCAAACATAGGAGCGCAGTGTAGCGATCAATCCGCTCCGCTGCTATGGCTGTCGCACATAGTGAAGGCAGCACGTCAGCGCTCCGCAATTGCGCCTTCCCATCGAACACACCAACCCCACCTTCCACTCACTCCTGCCCCCTCTCGTCCTCCGTCTCCCACCTATGCCAGGAGCGGTGTGTGGCGATCGAGTCGCTGCTATGGCTCTCCCACGTGGTGCAGGCAGCACGGCAGCGCTTCCTCTCGCACCTTCCCAAGTCACCAAGCCCACCTTCCATCCACCCCCTCCCCCTCCTCACCCCACTCCCACTCACCCCTCACCCTCTCTGTCCCCCATCCCACCAACCCCAGCAGCGGTGTGTGGCGATCGAGTCGCTGCTGTGGCTCTCCCACGTGGTGCAGGCAGCACGGCAGCGCTTCCTCTCGCACCTTCCCAAGTCACCAAGCCCACCTTCCATCCACCCCCTCCCCCTCCTCACCCCACTCCCACTCACCCCACACCCTCTCTGTCCCCCATCCCACCAACCCCAGGAGCGGTGTGTGGCGATCGAGTCGCTGCTGTGGCTCTCCCACGTGGTGCAGGCAGCACGGCAGCGCTTCCTCTCGCACCTGCCCAAGGCTTCGTGGCCGCTCCTTGAGTCCTACACCTCCGAAACCGTAAGTTACTCATCATTCACAGTACTCTCTAGCTCGTATCTAATCTGGGACTGACAACTGATACACGCGCCCTAGACACCTCTTTGAGTCACTATTCATACTACTGCCAAACTCCTAGATTTCATAGCATTGTTGGTATATTCCTGGTGAGCTATGTGAGCATGTGATGACAGCAGCGTTTCTTTCGTGTCCCATGTCTCCGCTTGTCTTTGTCTCCCACATACATCTCTCCCTCCCGTCAAATCGTCTCCTCTCAGCTGGAGGTGGTACCAGAGCTCTGCGAGCATGTGATGAGAACAACCTTTCAACTCCTGCATGTCTCCATCCGTCCTCCCATCTCTCCTCCTGTCATGTCTCCTCTGTCATCTCTCCTCGTCTCCTCTCAGCTGGAGGTGGTACCAGAGCTCTGCGAGCATGTGATGAGAACAGCTGCTCGATTGCTCATCAACTTCACCAGGTATGCTCTCTGACAGGTCTTGAAAGCACCTAGTTTGAGACGTCACAAAAATTGCTCGATTGCTGTGCTCTTCAACTTCACCTGGTAAGCATTCAAGCAGGTTTTGAGACGCCTCAAAACTTCACCAGGTAAGCTTTCGAGCAGGTTTTAAAGTCCCCTTCTGCCCTTCCAATCCCAATTTCCATCCATGGGTAGGTTGGTGTTAATTTTGGTCTAAAGCTGTCCTCTCGTCTTTTTTCCCCGCTGCTCTCCGTTCACCGTGCTTGCTGCCTGCCTCACACTCCCGTCTTTTGAGAATTCTAAAAAAACATACGCTCTCAGTTCACCGGTCACAAGCTTTAGGTTGAGAAATCTTTTTCCCCGCTGCTCTCCGTTCACCGTGCTTGCTGCCTGCCTCACACTCCCGTCCGCTGTGTTGTCTCCTAGGTGACTTTTGAGTCCACTCAAAAGTTTTTGAGGTTGAATCACAACTCACCGTGCTTGCTGCCTGCCTCACACTCCCGTCCGCTGTGTTGTCTCCCTGGCTTCCCCAGCTACGCGGACAAGATAGGCTTTTGAGGCGCCTCAAAAGTCACCGTGCTTGCCTCACTCTCCCGTCCGCTGTGCTGTCTCCTTTGTTTTCCCAGCTACGCGGACAAGATACGCTTTTGAGGCGCCTCAAAAGTCACCGTGCTTGCCTCACTCCCGTCCCCGGTTTTTTCTCCTTTGCTTCGCCAGTTACGCAGACAAGATCGCAGCAGGGAGATGGGAGTCCCACGACGTCACGTCCTACCACAGCCCGTACGTTATTGTGTCATGCCGCATGCATTTTCTCATCAAAGCATACATACAGCATGCATTCTCCATCCCTCCCTCCACTCCATTCCCATCCCGCACACCAACTACACGGATGCACTATTGTCAGGGTTTCGCCTCTCGCAATGTCCTTCTTTTCCCGCTCTGTTCGTCCCCTGGCCCAATCTCCGCCCATCCCACCTCCCAATCACTTCAGCTACATAAATGCGCTGCTGTCAGAGTTCCGCCTCCTGCAAGCAACGCCCTTCCCCCGCCCTCTTTATTTGTCCCCTGGCCCAACCCCCCCCACTTTCTCCCACCTCCCAATCACTTCAGCTACGTGGATGCGCTCCTGTCGGAATTCCGCCTCCTGCTACAGAGATTGAACCACCTGGGCATCCCAGTCCAGGTATTGTTGATTCGCATCATCCTCATCATCTCGCGATGTTTTTTTTTTTTGTGTGCGTCTCTTTTTCAACGGGAGTGGGGAGTCCCTTTGATAGTTCCCTGCCTGCCGGTCTGTTTTGTATTGTCGCCATTTCATCCATTAGCGCTGCTTAGGCAGGTACAGCAGCAGCTGGTGCAATTCGCAGTGGAAGCCGTAGAAGCCGTAGCAGGCAAGATGGTGGAGGGCTTCTCGCGAGTCATTCAAGCTCTTAACTGTGCTGCTTTGCCCCCTATTACCTTGTTATTGTTGCCTCTACTGTGCGGATCATGCCATCGAATCCCACAGGTGCAGCACCAGCTGGTGCAGTTTGCAATGGAAGCCGTAGCAGACGTGCTCGTGGAGGGCTCTTACCCGGCTGGTGCACTCCTGGGGGGCTTACCTGTGTGCTCCTCTGCGTTGGTTTGACTTTTGAGAATTCTCAAAAGTCAAGCCAACATCGTGGAGGGCTCTTACCCGGCTGGTGCACTTCTGGGGGGCTCACCTGTGTGCTCCGCTGCGCGCTGTTCTTTCTGCCTGCACTGTGCATGTGTTGTGTGTCTGACATGGCATGACCCCCACAGGTGCAGCACCAGCTGGTGCAGTTTGCAATGGAGGCAGTAGCAGACGTGCTTGTCGAGGGCTTCTCGCGAGTCAAGCGCTGCTCCAATGAAGGCCGGGCGCTTATGTCCCTCGACCTGCAGGTACCCTATCACTCCCATTCACTGCCATCCACTCCCAATCAGGTTTTTTTTTAGAATTCTGAAAAAATCCCTGCGATTCAAGCGCTGCTCCAATGAAGGGCGTGCGCTTATGTCCCTTGACCTGCAGGTACCCTCCTACTCCTATTCACTGCCATCCACTCCCAATCAGGGTTTTTTTTAGAATTCTAAAAAAACCCCTGCGAGTCAAGCGCTGCTCCAATGAAGGGCGTGCGCTTATGTCCCTCGACTTGCAGGTACCCTCCAACTCCCATTCACTGCCATCCACTCCCAAGCAGAACCTGCCGCTGCCAGCCAGTACTCCCCCAAACCAAAAACCAAAAACCAAAAACCAAAAACCATCACATTTTCAGTTACAACACGACCGAATCCACCTAAGTCAACTCGTAGCCACCCTTAGGATCCGGACAAGGGACTGTAAGTGTATGGCAGACAAGTGTATGGCCTGCCTGCCTGCCTGGTACACTTCCTCCCCACTTCCCTACGTGGTGGAAGGCCTGCTGTCGATTGGCAATACACTCATCTGCCTGCCACTCACAGCCCCTTGCCTACCTGATACATTGGTGCAACTTTTGAGAATTCTCAAAAGTCACTCGTCTGCCACTTACGAGGTGACTTTTGAGTCGACTCAAAAGGCTCCACTTAGAGCCCCTTGCCTGCCTGATACACTTCCTCCCCACTTCCCGACCCTCCTGGCCAATTAACAGCAGGCTGCTATAGCTTATGGGCACCGCCGAGTGAGTGTCATTGCAGCAGGCTATCAAATCTCGTCCGTTTGTTTATCTGCCCACCTTTCCTTCCAGACGCTGATCAATGGCTTGCAGCAACTCACAGGGCGCCGCCCAGACATGCAGATTGTTGACACGTACATCAAGGTGGGAATATGGGGTATTTGCTTTGCTCCAGGCCGGGTGTCCACAGTCTGCAATAGCCGTGTTCACTCACAGGGCGCCGCCGCCCAGACATGCAGATTGTCGACACATACATCAAGGTGGGAACAAAGCCGTGTGTCCGGCCGTATGGGGTATTTGCTTTGCTCCAGGCCGGGTGTCCACAGTCTGCAACAGCCGTGTTCTGTTGACTCACAGGGCGCCGCCGCCCAGACATGCAGATTGTCGATACATTAAGGTGAGGGAGTTGAAGCGTGCATATTTCTGAGTTGACTGAAAAGAAGCTCTTAGGGGCTCAAGGTCGCTAGGCTGTACTTTGTTATGTATGAACTGCTACATGTATATGATATGGGAGGTGTAGCTCTCAGAATTATTGGGGGGAGGGTTTGTTCTGTTCTGTGTAGTCTTCCCAACAACATATTGTGGATTGTGGTTGGTCAAGTCTGGTCTTGGTTCTTGGTCCTTGGCTTCTTGGGTGGCACATCCCAACCAAGTGGTCCCAACACTAGTGAGTGAATGTACATGTGATGTGAAGTTGAGCGTATTCGCCCCACCTCATTTCTGAGGCGCCTCAGAAGTCGTCTCTCTACCCGCAATCTTTTTAGGCGCCTCAAAAGCAAACCAAGTGGTCCCAACACTAGTGAGTGAATGTACATGTGATGTGAAGTTGAGAGTATTCGCCCCACCACACCTCTCAGCCAATCATTGTCCACATGTCGCCCGCTTTTCTGCTGCCACTGTTGCCACATCCCCACACCCCTCCTCCCCCATCCCTAACCCTTCCCCCCCGCTTCTCTTCCCTGCAGGCCGTCTACCTACCTGAGACAGAGTACCTAGATTGGGGCCTTATGAGTTGTCTCAATTACGCCCTCCAAACTCCTACCCTCCTCTACCCCCCCCACCTCTCTTCCCTGCAGGCCTTCTACCTGCCCGAGACAGAGTACCTCTACTGGGCGCTCAGCCACGCTTTGAGAGAGAGTACCTAGCCTGATTGAAGCCTTTTGAGTTGACTCGATCACCCCCCCCACCCCTACCCCCTTTTACCTCCCACCTCCCGTCCCTGCAGGCCTTTTACCTGCCGGAGACAGAGTACCTTTACTGGGCGACTTCTGAGTTGACTTGAAGCCCCCCTCCCCTTCTTCCCGCACCCCCCACCTCTCTTCCCTGCAGGCCTTCTACCTGCCCGAGACAGAGTACCTCTACTGGGCGCTCAGCCATCCCGTGAGTAACCGCATAACCGTGTAGACATGTAATCGGTAACCAGGTAACCATGTCCACTAGGTAGCATGATGTCCTGTTCTGAGGCGTCTCAATACAGGTAACCATGTCTTCCAAGTAACATAGGTATCGTGTAATTAGGCAGTCAGCCAGTCTCAATCCTGGCTGGTTCGTGCCAGCTAGGTAATTAGGCTGTCTGTCAGACAGGCAGGTAACTGGCCAGGCTGTCTGTCTGTCTGCGATCCCCTACCTCCACTTCCAGGAGCGATCCCTACCTCCACTTCCAGGAGCGATCCCTACCTCCACTTCCAGGAGCGATCCCTACCTCCACTTCCAGGAGCGATCCCTACCTCCACTTCCAGGAGCGATCCCTACCTCCACTTCCAGGAGCGATCCCTACCTCCACTTCCAGGAGCGATCCCTACCTCCACTTCCAGGAGCGATCCCTACCTCCACTTCCAGGAGCGATCCCCACCTCCACTTCCAGGAGCGATCCCTACCTCCACTTCCAGGAGCGATCCCTACCTCCACTTCCAGGAGGTTTTTATGCTTTATAGTGCCTGTTTTTAGGTATGTTTTAACCTTGTATCATATCCCACATCCAGGAGTATTCCCACGCACAGGTGGTGTGACTGATCAACCTGGTGGCCGTGATGAAGGGGTGGAGGAGGAAGACCCGCGTTGACCTCATTGACCGAATTGACCTCCGCTGTGCCATGCCGTGCCCGTCTGTTTTCCCCCACTTCCAGGAGTATTCACGAGCTCAAGTTGTTTCACTGATCAACCTGGTGGCAGTGATGAAGGGATGGAGGAGGAAGACCCGCGTTGACTTGATTGACCGGATCGAGGGGCAGGAGATTAGATGAGCGTGAGGGGGCAGGAATGAGGATGAGTGGGAGCTTCTGTACCCGTGTGTGTAGGAGGAAGGCTCGTGTTGACCTCATTGACCGGATCGAGGGGCAGGAGAGCAGATGAGCACCGGGAATTAAAAGGAGGGATGAGCGTGCCATGCACGAGGGGCAGGAGAGCAGATGAGCACGTTTTTGAGAATTCTCAAAAACCAGCTGGAATTAAAAGGAGAGATGAGCGTGCACGAGGGGCAGGGGCCGATGCGCGTTGCTGGGAGCAATGGTACACGTGTCAAGGGGTGATAGTGGGGAAGAAATGGACGAGAGAGACTCATGTTGACTTCATGGACTGGATCGAGGGGCAGGGGCAGGCGGGCAGTCGAGCGAGGGGGGCAAGAGCGGAAGTGAGCATGTGTGAGGGGTTGACGGCGAGGAAAAATGGAAGAAGAGTTGCGTTGACCTCATTGACCTGTTGGAGGGGCAGGACGGGCAGGCAGGGTAGTTGAGTGGAAATGAGCTTCAGTGGTTGAATCGTTTTGTGCGAGTGAGGTTGTGGCAGCGAGAAAGCAATGGAGGAGGAAGAATCGCGTTGACCTCGTTGACTAGGTATGTTTTTTTAGAATTCTCAAAAAACATACGTTGACTAGGTGACTTTTGAGTCGACTCAAAAGGCAGCGAGAACGCAATGGAGGAGGAAGAATCGCGTTGACCTCATTGACTAGATCAAGGGGAGGTGGACAAATGGAGGGCATGAGGCAGAAGAGAATAGAGAGGGTTAAGGCCACGAGGCAGGGTAAGGAGAAAGACTCCCGTTGCCTCGATTCACTGGATTGAAGGGCAGGATGGGGGAGGTGAGTAAGAATGGGAGAATTTAAACAAAGGGCAGTGGTAAGATGCCATGAAGAGAGGAAGAGTTGGAGGGGAAGAATCGTGTTGACCTCATTGACCCATGGTAGATTGACTGACTGAGTGTGACTGGTCGACTGACTGACAGACTGTCTGACTGACTGAAAGACAGATACACTGACTTATAGGCTGATTGCTTACTGACGAACATGCACAGCTGATCGGTTAGAAAGCCCAATTGGTCGTTAGAACTACTTGTCTCGCTGTTTGGCAGGGCAGGGGTGATGTGGGCCAGAGAGGGAGAGGAGGGTGGAGAGAGGAGAGGGAGAGTAGGAGAGGGGGTCAGTGAGGAAGGTGCTTGACAGGCTGACTGGGCTCTATAAATGCTGATTTAGAGGTGGCTCGAGTTTGAGTTCAGGGGCATCTCAAGGCGCAATGGGCCGTTGGGAGTTAACTGTTGGGTCCTATTTGTTGGGCGGATCTTCAGCCTGGGTTTCTCCGAGGTGACAAATGGGTGTCCTCCACCAGACTACTTTCGAGGGGGCTCAAAAACAGGAGCGCTGCTGGTGCTGTGCATTCGTGCCGCCTATGGAATTTGCTTCATGGGCATGAGGTGGCTTATGCTCAGGACTCACGAGGTGGTGCATTGGCTCAGGGCTTTACTCATTGCCAGCAGGTGAGCTCCTTCCCTCTCTGCACACACTGCTACTCTCTGCACACACTGCTACTCTCTGCACACACTGCTACAGCACAGTGTTACAACAAACTGTTTTTTAAATTTCCCACACCATCCTTTGAGGTCAAACTCCCTCTGCTCGTTCTCCCCGACGCCGCCTTTCATTGTATGCGTCCTAGTTGTGCCCTTCCCCTCTGCTCGTTCTCCATCACTCCCCCACCCTGCCCCCACCGGCCGTTGCTCGTTTGAGGTTAAACCCGCCCTTGCCCCCTCTCCCCATTCAAGTCTTCCCAACCCTCTCTCCCTCCAACACCCTCCCCCAACCACCATCTCGTCCCCTCTCCCCATTCTCTGTCACCCCTTTACCTTTCTCCATCAATTCTTTACTTTCGCCTCCTTGGCGTAATTTTCTGGTGAAGGTTGACGTATCAATTCCACCCCTTACTCTCCACAGAGTCACCCTCTTTGGTACAAGGGCTATCATAGGTTTGTAGAGTACGTCATAAGTTTATGAAGCCATGTCTCTTTTGTTTATATTGCGCTTATTATATGCCTCGTCTTCATGTTCCTGTTGTTTTCTGTATTGTCGCGTGTGTTACAGGTGGGAGTTGTGGTGTGCTACCATGGTATATGGATCATTCCAGCATGTGCAATATATCCTTAGCTTCCAGGAAACCCTGGAAGCCCTGCGTTCAATACTTGAGAGGACATAGAGGGTCGGAAAAATAGTTACACTGATTGCCCAGAGCATATTTTCCAGAAGTTAAGTTTTCTCTGACAAATCAGAGTAACGCTCATAATTCACCCTGAATTTCAGAGTTCCCTAGAAAACAGCTCTGGAAATCCGAGTAGTGGAAATCCTAAAAAAAGCCCTGGTAGGGACCCTTTATCATGCAAAGGTGGCTGCCTGTTGCACCACCATATGTCAGTCTCATCTCACAACCAGACGAGACGACCATGTACACCATAGATGCATGTATCGGTATTGGTATTGATCGTTGCTATGCCTCGCTTAACTTGTCCAATTGGCAGCAAGATGATGGGTGGATGGGTATCGGTAAAGGTTATAGGGGACATCCCCTTTGGTATTACTCCGGCTGTCGATCGTAATCCGCCTACCCACTTATTTACGCGCCTCGCTGGGTATATCGAGGTAAGGAATATCCACTCCCAGATGAGCAGTGCGAAACCCCCTTCTTGGGGGCTAGCAGAACTCACCGGCACTGAGGTCTGAACCCAGAACCTCATCATCGAAAGTCCCATCTTATTTGACTGGATGATGGATGGGACGGGAGAGTACCGTATGCGGTTGGTGTGGCTGAGTTTAGATTGCAATTTACATCTTGCCGTTGGCGCCAAGCACAAATTTGATTGTGATGACAAGAAATCACCCCAAAAATTGGCCTCCCGGATATAAGACCCCCTCCAGTTGTAGACCCCCGGGTCTATAATACGGAGGGGGGTACGCTAAATAGGTCGTTTTTGTTATACCCCCCTAAATGGGGGCTAACATTATAAGACCCCCCTCCCCCTAGAGAATTGGTCGATTTATTGGCAATGAATGCAATTCTGATAGCTTTTCTGCCCCTTTCCACACCAAACCCCATAAAATTTTCATAAATGAGGGGTACAACCAGTCACAAAAGCACATATACGCATCATTCTGTCAATTTCGTGTACTAATTTTGAATGCTAAACACGAATTCCATTGCGCGTATTCCCTTTGAATGCTAAAAACGAAGCACATAGTGTTGACATGTTTGACTTCCAAAACAGAAGTAGTATCCTTGACATTATGATAAGACCCAGAACTTATAAAAAGTAGCCAACTGTTAAGACCTCCCCTCATTTTTGGGGTGGGATTCTTATAATACCCCCGGGTCTGATATCCGGGGTATTACGGTACAATACATTACACAAATGCTGATACAACCAAACGATCTAGTGGATAGGATAGGATCTGTTAAGCCTAAGAGGAGACAATGAAGTCTATGTAGTGACCTTGTCGAATAATAATTGAAAGAGAACAAGATAATTAAAATATAGGAGTACAAGAGATTAAATAGAAATCTAGCTAGCCATGTACTCTGAGGGGTACATTCCCTTATTAGCTGTATTGCATAGCTACAGTAACTGTTATGGGAGAACCAACAGAGTTACCCGAACCTACCGAGGAGCCGGAGCCGCCAGTACAAGGACCACAAGAAATTGAGGTCATCGGCGCTGAATACAGTTACTTCAGAATCCCAGTGAAGGGACTCCCAGTTCGGGAGTGGCCCAACCAGTGCCTGCTCGTTACCGAAGACCAAGTCGAAGCCGGCGACACCGACGACATCATCGGGATTCCCCGCGCGCTTCTGGAGCGAAAAGCAATTCGCGCGCTCGTCGTCGATACCGA